ATGATTGTTCTCTCCAAGGAGTGTATCTACCTCAGGTCAATGTTCAACTCATATGCCTATCTTTTGTTTGGCTGGAAGCCACAGAAGTGGGTTCAGTTCCAGACCTGAAGGGCATCCAGGAGCCATAGTCTCAGGGGTTCCACCAGGCTCTATCAGACCAGTAAATGTGGCACCTCCTTTTTTTTATGATTTTGAGTTTTGTTCCACATTGTTCTCCCACTCTATCCAGGCTCTCCTGCAGCTATCCCCCTCTGAGTGGCTGACAGTGGTAGCCAGGCACCATCTAGTTCTTCTGGTCTCATGGTCATATAGACTGAGGATCGCATGGTGTACCAGTTGCTTGGACTAATTGTTTCTATGTGTTTTTCGTTGGTTTTCTTCATTCTTCTTTTTCCTGGACGAGAAGAGACCCATCGTGGCATCTAGATGGCTGCTTGCAAGTTTGTAAGTTGCTACTCACTAAAGTAGGATGTGGAACGATGTTTTTGTGTAGTATGTTGTGCCAGTTGAGCTTGATGTCCCATGTGACCATGATCCCGAGCCCACAGGTCCGACTACTTGCTCCCTCTGGGTTGCTCCCTGTGGCTAAGAAGTGACTACAGCCTTGTCCCTTGTCAGCTTTACTACACACCTAGCAGTTTTTAACACAACATACCAATACACTTGTAGAAATATTATCTGCCAACCCTATACATGGTCATGGGCCCACTGCCCCCTGCACAGACATACCTAATTGGGCTCAACAGTTTTTTAAAAGCCTGACTGCTAACCCAAAGGTCAGCGGTTCAAACCCACCAAACTGCTCAGTCAGAGAGAGCCCCGATGATCTGGTCCCGTAAAGGTGACAGCCTAGAAAACCCTGGGGGGCAGTTTTCCTCTGTTACCTGGGGTCGCCCTGAGTCAGCATTGACTCTGTGACACCCAACAACACGACAGAAGTGCCCCTAGACACTCAAAGCCCAGGGAGCTCATAGAAGGGGGAGAAAGTTGCACCTAGAAAAAGAAAAGAAACAGAAAGAAAGAGCGGGTTAAAATGCGAGAGGGGGCAAGAGAGAGAGAAGAAAGGAAGACAGTGCTGTGGCGGGGGTACCTGAGGGGGCCTTCGCCTGTGAGGTCTCGGACACGCCGGTATTTCAGCAGGAACGAGAGGCACTAGCTTGCCGCCTGGTCACCCCCAGAGGCGGAGAAGACGGGTTGTTTTTCTTCAGTCGCTAAAGGAAAAGCCGGTTGCTGTCAAGTTGACCCTACTCATCGTGACCCCACATGGGTCAGAGTAGATGTACGGTCCATGAGGTTTTCAGTGGCTGATTGCACAGAAGCAGATCACCAGGCTTTTCTTCCAAGGCACTTCTGGCTGGACTCAGACCTCCAACCTCTTGGTTACTCGAGTGCTTAAGTGTTTGCTTCCCCAGGGACTCCCTTAGGCCAGCAGCCGGCTCCTCTTGTTGTCGGTACCTCTGATGGTGTCTGCTGGAGAAGAGACGTGGGTGTGAAGTGCCGGGGCCAGACGCGGTGTCCAGCCCGAGCCCACTTGTGGGAGTGCCCCTCGCTGGGCAGACCAAGCTTTTATCAGCACTGAGTCCCTGGCACGGAGCAGGGTGGCTACGCGGGCTCTGTGGAGGGGCCTGGAGGGGCTGGGTGAGGGTCAGGAACTGTGACTGGCTCCCACAAGGCCTTGCAGCTCAAGAGAAAGGCCGC